TAGAAGAAAAACGATGATCCTAACTAAAATATGGCAATCACTAGCAAGAAGAATTGAGTAAAAAAAAACAGGTTTACAAACAGCAACAAAAATAAAATATTTAAGCATATGGTTAACTACAAAAAATGTTCAACTTTTAACTAATAATTATGAAAGATGTGAAAGATTATTGTTAATTTAATTGATTGATTAGGGGCTGACTCAAACGATCTTCTGGCAGGTGGGACCCTTTATTCAGTCATCCCACCGCTGCCACCAGAATGTGAAGGATTATTTGACGTATAACTAGATTATGCTGAAGTTGACTGGATTCAAACTCAGGACACAGAAACACAGAGGGTATAACACACAGGTCTTTCAGTAGTTTGCTGCCACCAATTATACTTCTCCAATCTTGATACAGGGATTCTTGGCCAGAGAGACACACTGAGGCACTGGTTGTTTTTAACAATAAAGAATGATGTTTATTTGTATTTACAGAACAGGCAATAAATTGTAATGTTGCAGAGATGTATGGAGCTTAATGGTTATGTTGTACAGTTCAGTGCTTAAAACTTCAGGTTACAAATTAACTTTCCAAGTTCACAGGAATCTAGTAGTCTACTGCTAACTAGATCCTAATCTTCAAACAGCCCTATTCCTGGGTCTGTTCTAACCTATTATCAAACTACTTTTCCTCCACAACTGCTTACTGAACTTCACTAACTAGCTCTAGCTTCACAAATTCCAACTCCTCTCTCCCACTTCCTTCCTTTGACTCTCCTACTCCCCAACTCCCTAACTGACTTTTTCCAACTGTCAGAATTAAAAAAAAAACACTCTGGCTCCTCCCCCCCCCCCCCCCCCACTCGACCAAGCTCCACCCACTTTCCCTCAGCCAATCAAAATGGTTCTCCATATTCTCCTCGGCTGTCTTCGAGCTCCGCCCCTCTACTGAAAATGTTTTACCTAAAATGGCTGCCTCCAGCTTCCATACAAAATGGATGCCAGCTATTCAGCCTATTTCTGATTTAGCCCTGTCTAAGGTAGGGAAATTCATCAGAGTATGGAACCAAATAAGAAGAGAAATTGATAAATGGAAATCACTAAATCTCTAAATTCTGGGCAGGATATCACTGGTAAAAATGAACGTTCTACCGAGATTACTCTTTTTATTTCAAAATATACCAATAATACGTAGTAGTGCAAAATTTAAGACAATAAGAACTTAATGAAATTCGTATGGAAGGGGGAAAGCCTAGAATAACGTTTACGATATTAACGGACAAAAAAAGTAGAGGAGGCTTTGGCCTCCCAGATCTAAAACTATATCATGATGCATGTACCCTAGCCTAGATTAAGGACTGGATGAATTTAAAAAGAGAAAAATTGTTATCCTTAGAGGGACATGACTTACAGGTGGGCTGGCACTCGTACATTTGATATGAGAGAGAGAGAAAAGAGAAAAAATTCGGCAACCACTTTATAAGTTCGTCATTACTAAGGATTTGCCAAAAATATAAAAATTACTTTTATTCAAGGACTCCATTAATGGTTATCAACTATGGAGGCAAATCAAAGAAGACTATTAGGTTGGTCCAAATGGCCAACCTATAATAAGGATCTACTGACAAAAGGTTCAACAACTCTGAAATCCCACGAGGTAATTAAACAGAAGTTTCCCAATATCTCTTGGCTTCTCTATTTACAAATTAAAGAGTTCTATAACAAAGATAAAACAATGGGTTTCAATTTGAATGAGCAATTCTGGGATAAAATTTTAGAAAACGATTTAAAAAATATTACAAAATTTATAATAGCTTGCTAGATTGGTCAACGGATGGGGAAAGCCTGCATGATTAAATGGGCTGAAAATTTAAGAACAATAACACTCAAAGAATGGGAATCAATTTGGAACAAAAAAATAAAATATACATATGCTATGGATTTGAAAGAGAATTAGCTCAAGATGTTCCATCGTTGGTACATCACACCGAGGAAACTAAGCCTAATGTATAAGAACACACAAAAATATTGCTGGAAATGCAAGGATCAAGAGGGTAGTTTCTTCCGTATGTGGTGGACCTGCAAAGAAGCAAAAAGTTTTGGGGGGGAAATACATGCAGCAAGCCAACATATTTTTAAGATTAGATTCCCCATGAAGCCAGATTTTTATTTATTAGGTATAACTGATTCGGGCCTACCATTAGATCTTAACGATGCTATTTCGTTTATCTATCTGACTACTGCTGCCAGAATTTGCTATGCAAGACACTGGAAGCAAAAAAGAGATACCAGGTGTAGACAAATGGATCCAGAAAGTGAGAGAGATCAAAGACATGGACAGACTAACTTTTTTAAATATACTGATTGGTCCAAGATAGAGGAATATGAAAAAATGAGAATTTAACAGACATGACAAAAGACATTACTGTGTAATAAGAAGAGCTGATTTACTTTAGTGAATTGTTACGAAACTGCACCCTCAGTAGAAAATTTTAAGATAAAGGTAAAGCCGCAAAGGACTAGATCAGTGTTACTCAACCTGGGGGTTGGGACTCACAAGGGGGTGTCAGAGGGGTCGCCAAAGACCATCAGAAAACACACTATATTCTGTTGGTTATGAGGGTTCTGCGTGCAAAGTTTGGCCGAATTGTATTATTGATGGGCTTCAGAATGCTTTTTGATTGTAGGTGGCTGGTAAACCCTTTGCTGGAAGGTAAAATTTCCCACCAGAGAGCAGCCTTCATATTAGGACTTTCTGAATGACTGGGCACACCAGCGTGTTATCTCTTTCTGAGGTAACACAAAGTTCTTGATACTCCCCTCCACCACAGCCTTAAGATAATCCACCTTTTTTATTTAGGGCCTTGATATCAAACCAGGTAAGTTGGACTGTCTGGGCTATTAAATTACATAAATATGAGGTAGGGTAAAATTCCTCATTAGATCAGTTCATATTAGTCTCACTGTGTTGGAGCATATTGACTAACAAATATTGGTGACTGAGATGTGCATAGCCCGACAGGCTTCCTGCTACAGTGAGATGGGGTGCTGTGGGCGCTGATATCTCACTTCTGATTGTGATGATGTCTCCTGGCCTCTACCGGGGTTTGGTGTTTGGGACTTGCCTAACAATTAAGCAGCGGATTGATGTGAAATTTCTGCTGTAGCTTGGCGGCCCCATGTGCTAGAGATGATGGGGGGGGGTGTAGTCCACTTCCTGTCCAACCCAGCCTGGATGGGGTCACTAAGGCCGCAGAAGGTCACAGGCAATCCCGCTGGTGCGTGCAAGGAACTCGTAGAGCTTTGTGGAACAGGGCTTCCTGACGCTGAAATTACAGCGAGGAAGACAAGGACAAGCATAGCAGAGGAGAAGGAGGCCACAGCAGGGTGTAAGTGGCTCCTCCACTGTGCAGGAGAGTACAAGCTGAGCTGTCGAGCTGTGCTGGGCCCCAACCTTCTCTGTTTAGCCTGTTTGCCTCTCTGCTGACTCAACAAGATGTGGCTCTTCAAATCCGCCATGTCAATCCCCTCTTTGAGGGTTGGTTATTGGCTCTGGAGACCCAGGTTTGAACCCCTACTCAACCAAGGAAACTCACTGGTGGACCCTAGGCAAGTTATTCTCTCTTAGAACCTCATCCCATGAGTTGCGAAAAGCGTGCCGGGGGGGGGGGGGGGGGGGGGGGGGGTTGCCCCATTGCATTTAAAAAGAAATGGTTTCATTTTTTCAAATCCCATTACATGCTCTTATTTTTTTATCCTTTCTTCCGAAATGATCCATGTTCTGTTCCATCACAAGCGATTGCAAAACTCACCAAATCTATATTTTTAAAGAAAGTTAAAAGGCTAGCAATAGCACAATTTTGAAAGCCAAGATTACTGTGAAGGAGAAAATATAGCAAAAGTAAAATAGTGGTTTTTTTAAAATGTGCTATTCCTAATGATTAAATTATTTTTTTAAAGTTACCATACCAGGCAGATGCAGCAGGATTTTGGAAAAGAAGTGGAGCGTCAATGCTCAGTAGGAGACCACCCATAGAAACGCCAGTTCTCCATGTTACTGAAACAATACAACATGGTTGAATCTGAAAGATCCCATCCCATGAGTAAATGACCATTTTCTCCCATTTCCCTGTGCATCAGGAACTCAGAAGATGATTTCTCTGCTGCTTCATTCCCTCCCCCCACCCACTCAATTTCTCCACACTCCTAAAACAATTTACCCACAAAACATCACAGACAGGCAGAGGTCTGTTTGCATCATATGATGGGCTCTGTGATACTTCAACTATATAATGTTTTAGAAATGTGTAGAAATGGGGGAGAGGGGCTTACATGGGATAAAGTCAAAGAAGAAGGCAAAACTGAACACCCCCCGCCAAGAAAAGTGATGTTGTGGTTGAAATGATTAAAAAGGAACTGAGTTGAGAGACTCACCCTATTGTTAAGCATAGTCAGGGATCATTGGAAAACAGCTCCTTTGGTTGATGAGCACATATTCAGTGCTGAATCAGGAATCAGCTTCCAGATTGTTGTATGTGGAACGAGGATGGATTGCCATTTGACTCTTGCTTTAATGATCATAATGCTGAATATCCATACCCTTTCCAGGCTGGGTTCAGACCTAATGGATCAATTTCTTATAAGGCTAGTCTAGAAGTTTAAACTATAGAATATTTCAGAGAAGCTGCTGTGCGACAGCACATAAGACCTGCAGGCCACTACAGCAAATAACCAGATACTTACTTGCTGTAGAATCTTAAACAATTTGGGAACTGGCTACATTGGAAACTATAGTTATCTTTTAGCATCATGAAACTTGGGAAACCTAGATTGCCAATTATTATGACATATATTATGATGTCTGCTGGTTCTCATTGACTTAGGTCCTGCTCAGTTTAATCCAAATGTCTATAATATTACCTTACTTGGCTCATGTGATATTCTATAAACTTGAGCTCAGTAATAAATTACTGTAAATTATTTAATGTACTTATTGTGCACATTGTTGTTTTTAGAAGTCCATCTCCTTTAAGTCCAGAGACAACACAAACAAGCAGCATACCTGACAAGCCAGAAGTTAAAGTGTTGCGTATGAGGAAGCTGACAAGGCAATACAGCTTGTGAGTACAGTTTTGATAAAACCTCCTGCAAACATGTTTTCCAAATTGTGTAAACTGTAAAAAATACCATTCATTTTCACTTAACTGAATTCTGTATATTTAGGACCCTGGAATCTCTATGACATAGATCAGATTGTCAATAAATTGAGGATCTGTAATCACTGGGCATTGATTCTGCTTTGGATCTTAGCCCACACTTTTAAAAAGTCTAGAACCCTATCATGGAAGCGGGTTCCTTGAGAGGTCCTTTTAAATATGCACTAAACCCTAGAGTGTGTTTATCACCTCCATTAAGCTAGAGGTGCCAGCCACCACAATGACCCCGGAAAAAGAAATTTCCTCCGTATATGGTGAAATCAAACACTTAAAACATGAATCGGCACAGTATAATGCGTGCCTGGGGATTCAGTACTGCTAGGTCACTTTGGCTACAGAACCGCTTGAGTGCATCTACTCAGAAGTAAATCCCACTAAGTGGTTTACATCATATTTCTTTAAAAATACAATTTGCTTTAAAATCTGGATAGAAATACAATAGGAGAGAAGGAGTGAGCACAAAGGAATGGTAGGCATTTTTCAAACCTTACCATGTTATGCGACCCATGAAAATGTGTAGTTAAAATTGGATAAAAGATTGTAGTAATGAAGTTGATAGGAACTTTAGAAGGGTCTACCCCAGGAGGAGAGACCCTGCGGCCCCACCAAAGAGGGATCGCTACATTGGTGAGCAAAGAGAAGCCTAATTTTAAGCAAGTTATTTTCCCTAAGTTCCCAAAAAGAATCTCACCAAAGTTGAAGAAAGTGCCACCGAGATGATTTATTAGCGATTCAGTTGAAAAGGATGCAAAGCGGCAATCATTCGCCAAGCTAAGCATACATGTACAGAAATAAATGCCATTTTTATAGAAAAAACAGAGTGTGGGGTTTGAATCTCCCACCCCCTGCCCCAGCCCCTGCCTGGCTTGAAGGTTGTCTACCCCTCGAGCGCCTGGGCCAATCACAGGGCTTCTGCCGCCTTGTCGCGTCGACGAATCGGGAGGGAGGGAGGTGGGACAAGGAAATACAATGCATTCTTGAATGGATTATGGAACTCAGGAAATGTCCATGTGGCTCAGCGAGTCCTAAATGGCCTTCAAGCGAAACCTGTCTATTGTGTCGTGGTTGATCTGAGATAAGCATTGATCACTTAATCCGAGTTTTCCTCTTGCGGTCGGATAGGGGCACAAAAGGGAGAGACTTTGGTGAATGTCTTTAATGAAAAGGGCTTGAAAGAAAGTGGGTTGGGGGAAAAGGACTTCCCGAAGGTCCTTGTTTCCCCCCATTGTAATGTCTGCCAAATGATTATCGTCTTGATGGCCAAATGATTATCTTCTTGATGGCCTGACTCCGAAGTCAAGAAATTAATTCTTTGTAATTTTCTATGCAAGAAAGGTTCTGAGATAAGGGTTTTCACAATCGCTAATGGCCTTTTGCAAAGGCAGGACAACTTCCTTATTCATTTTCCTCAAGGAGAGGGGAAGGGAGGAAAAGGGTCAGGACCAGGTCAAATACATGAAGGGAAATAAAGAAATACAGGAGAAAATATGAAAATATAGAAATTATAATACAGAGAGAGTACACCCAACTATCCTCCCCCAGTGTCCATAGTTCATATTATTCATAGGAATCATAGAATCAAATCATAGAATCAAAGAGTTGGAAGAGACCTCCAGTCCAATCCCCTGCCAAGAAGCAGGAATATCCATAAAGGGAAATATATCCATGAGGGGGAAAGAGAGCCCATTGTTTGTGAGATGGGGGACCATCAGGAGCCCAGGTGTGTCTCAGATAGAAAAAGTCAAATACTTTTGTGGCATGATTTTCAGTAATAAATTGGTTACCTTCTGCTATAAAGATATGAAAATAGGGCATAAAGCCTTGATTAAATGATACACACCAAATTGACCAAGGCTTAACCCTTATTATCCAGTCTGATGTCCTTGCCCTTAGCCAAACTATGTTACTATCTCTAATGGGGGGGGGGGGGTCATGTTCGACTTCATTAACTCAAATTCCATCTATTTTTGACAAACACAGTGATGAAGATGATCTCCCTCCAGCACTTGCAGCTGCAGTAGCCGCTTCTCTGCCTCTGCCACCAGCATCTCCTGTGTCACAGAAAATGGCTTCAGACGGACATTTCTCATTACATGCAAAGGTACATACAGACAACTAGAGAGAAGGGTGAAAAAGCTTGTGGTCTACTATAACTCCCAGTTCCTTTTCAAACATTGCTCTCAAACCTTATGCTTGAGGATTTCGGTTTTCCTGCCTATAGTACCTAACATTTATTCTTGTTGAAATTAATTTTGTTCGTTTTGTCCCAACTGTCTAATCTGTCAAGGTTTGCATTTGGTTCCTGCCTCCTGGGTTAGGTTTATGCCTCCCTCCCAAGTTGGTGTCATCTGCAAATGTGTTAAGCGTGTCTTCTGTTCCACCATCTAAATAATTTATAAAGATTTCCAACATCACCAGACACAAGGCAGAAGCCTGAGGCTTCAACTAATCCAGTTTCTGATCCCAGATTATCTGCTTTGAACTGAAGTATATGGCAGTGTAGACTAGAGGCCTCATCAGAAATGCCTCCGTGACAACAGAGAGAGGAAGCTGGGCAAATCTGTCATTCGTATACAGCTCCGTCTTTGCGACACTTTCCCCATCACATGAGGAAAACCTTTCTCTCATGAAAAGGCTCCATGCTGGCTCCACTGGAAGCCTCCTGTGTTCTGGAAGAAGCGTCCAACCAGTTGTGGGTGGAGCCTCTGTGTGGGGCTCCGTCCTGGAGATAGTGTGGAAGCATCCTCAGATACTTATTTAGGTAAGTATGATGAGGTCCTTATATAATCCAGTTCAAAGTAGATAATCTGGATTTAGCAATTGAGGGCATATAAAATCTAATTGCCATATAAAATCTAGATTATCTGCTCTGAGCTGGATTATATGGCAGTGTAGACTCATATAATCCAGTTCAAAGCAGATAATGTGGATTATCTACTCTGATAATCTGGATTATATGGCAGTGAAGAAGGGGCCTTGATTATATGACAGTGTAGATTCAGCCTCAGGCACCCTACTAGTCACCTCTCCAGGTTGAAAGATTTGGAGGCACTCCCTGAGTTTGGTCCATCAACTAATTACAGATCACACTAACTGCAGCACTGTCTTTCCCACAGTTCACAAGTTTGCTCACAAGAATATAATGGGGGACCTTGTTAAAAGCCCTTTTGAAATCAGGATATGCTACTTTCACAGAATCTGTTACAAGTTTTCTGTACCTCAAATTTTTGAGAGAAAAATATAGAAATGCACAATTTCAGACTGTTCCAGTTACCTTGGATATTTTGAATTCTTTATGTACCAAATGTCACATGGATAGGGATGAAAGTACCACAAGAATATGAATAACTGCCTCAGTTATTCCAAAGCTTCTTTACATCAAGAAGCTTTGGAGTAATTCAGATGGATTTCTTTGACCTCTGTGCCACCAATGCAAATGCTGAGATAAATGCCTTAGCAGAGCATCAGTGGCATATACTGTATGAAAGCCTCTGAATTTCCCATTCTAATGGATAGTGCCATGAGTCCAAAGACACTACAAGACGAGTAATCTCTGCAAGTGATACCTTCCTTCTCAGGAGCTTACCAAGGCAAATACCTTTGTGTCACTATCTTGTCCAGTTCTCAATTTTTGGTTCTGTACTTAATGATACAGTGGTCAGTATTGTTATAATACACCTGCTTTCAGAGATTTGGAATTTTATCACCATTATTTATTTCATGTAGCATGTATAGGACTCACCCTTACCTTTAATACATACTACTCTAGCTATAGCTTAATTAGAAATTACAATTCTAGACTATGAAATCAGCCGCCCTGTTCAATAGTCTACAAATGTGTTACTTTCCCAGGGATTGAATGGTTAACATGTTTTTGATATATGGCCATTCAAAGAGAGACACTAAAATGCTTTCTAGGAGAATTTCAAAGGGATTTCAATAATCCTTTTAGGCAATGTTTTCACATCATTAATAACTGTTGTTGGGGCTTCATAATATTGTGTAAATACAAAATATTTACTGGATAAAGGAATTAAAATGAAAATATTTATTGGGTTGCTGTGAGTTTTCCATAAGCATTTTCTCCTGATTTTTCACCTGCGTCTATGGCAGGCACCCTAAGAATCATAAAATCATAGAGTTGGAAGAGACCTCATGGGCCATCCAGTCCAACCCCCTGCCAAGAAGCAGGGAAATCGCATTCAAAGTACCCCTGACAGATGACCATCCCACCTCAGTTTAAAAGCCTCCAAAGAAGGGGCCTCCACCACACTTCGGGCAGAGAGTTCCACCGCTGAACAGCTCTCAGAGTCAGGAAGCTTCATAATGTTCAAGATGGAATCTCCTTTCTTGTAGTTTGAAGCCATTGTTCTGCATCCTAGTCTCCAGGGCAGCAGAAAACAAGCTTGCCCTCTTTAAGCCACTCCTCACAGAGCTTGTTCTCCAGACCCTTGATCATTTTAGTTACCCTTCTCTGGACACATTCCAGCTTGTCAATATCTCTCTTCAGTTGTGGTGCCCAGAATTGGACAGAGTATTCCAGATGTGGTCTGACCAAGGCAGAATAGAGAGATAGCATGACTTCCCTGGATCTATTGCATCATTCCTATTGATGCAGGCCAAAAAAATCATTTTTTCTGCCAAAGTGGAGTGGCTTGCATATGTCACTGTTGAACTTCATTTTGTTAGTTTTGGTCCATCTTTCTAATATATTAAGATCGTTTTTAATTCTGCTCCTGTCTTCTGGAATATTGGGAGGGATCCCAAGTTGGTGTCACCTGCAAACTTGATGATCATGCCTTCTAACCTTTCATCTAAGTCATTAATAAAATTGTTGAACAGGACCGGGCCCAGGACAGAACCCTGCGGCACTCTGCTCGTCACTTCTTTCCATGATTAAGAGGAAGCATTGGTGAGCACCCTCTGGGTTTGTCCACTTAACAATTACAAATCCACCTAACAGTAGTTTTGCCTAGCCCACATTTGACTAGTTTGTTTGCCAGAAGGTCATGGGGGACCATACTGAAATCCAGATATGCTACATCCACAGCATTACCCCCATCTACCCAGATTGTAATTCTATTGAAAAAAGAGAGCAGATTAGTCTGGCATGACTTGTTTTTGATAAATCCGTATTGACTATTAGCAACGACCGCATTTGTTTCTAAGTGTTTGCAGACCACTTCCTTGACAATATTTTCCAGAATCTTGCCTGGTATTGATGTGAGGCTGACTTCACGGCAATTGTTTGGGTCATCCTTTTTTCTCTTCTTGAAAATTGGACCACATTTGCCCTCCTCCAATCTGCTGGAACTTCTCCCGTTCTCCAAGAACTCTCAAAGATAATTGCCAATGGTTCCGAGATGACTTCTGCTAGTTCCTTCAATACTCTTGGGTGCAGTTGATCTGGCCCTGGGGACTTGAACTCATTTAGAGTGGCCAGGTATTCCTGGACGACTTGTTTCCCAATTTGGGGTTGGATATCCTCAAATCCCTCATCCACTCCATCTTGCTGAGGTTGAAGATGACTTTCTCTTTGTGAGAAGACCGAGGCAAAGAAGGCATTAAGTAGTTCTGCCTTTTCCCTATTCGCATTGCCCCATCCTCTCCTCAAAGAGGCCCTATCGCCTCCTTGTTCTTCCTTTTTCTACTGACGTAAGAAAAGAAGCCTTTTTATTGTTTATAATGTCCCTGGCAAGCCTGACCTCGTTTTGTACATTAGCCTTGCGAAACTTTTGCCTACAGGAGTTGGCTATTTGTATGAATTCTTCTTTGGTGATTTCTCCCTTTTTCCACTTCTTGTGCATGTCTCTTTTGTGTTTTAGCACAGTTAGCACAGTTGTTGGCACGGTTTGCAATTGTGCCTTGTGTATTTCACTCTTGGAAAACTCCCATCCATTCATAACTCCCTTGTCTTTTAGTATCTGTGTCCATGGAATTCTGCTCAGTGTTTCCTTCATTTTTTGGAAATCAGCTATCCTAAAGTCCAAAATGCAGGTTTGACTTGTCTTAGTTTTGGCCTTCCTTTGTACCTTAAACTGCAGGAACACATGTTCACTTGCCCCTAAAGATCCGACCACTTCAACTGCATCGATCAGGTCCTCCGCATTTGTTAGGATGAGATCAAGAGTCACCGATCCCCTTGTTGCCTCTTATACCTTCTGGACCATAAAATTGTCTGCAAGGCAAGCGAGGAATTTCTTGGACTTTGTACTCTTGGCTGAGTTTGTTTTTCAGCAAATATCAGGATAGTTGAAATCACCCTTGACTACTATATCTTTTCTTTGTGCCTGTTTGGGGAACTGTTGGCAGAAGACTTCATCAAGTTCTTCATCCTGGCTTGGAGGTCTGTGGTAGATGCCTACGACGAGATCTTTTTGAGTCCCAGTTCCCTTGATTCTTATCCAGATGATTTCAAGCTGCTTTCCCAGATTGCTGTCTTGCATCTCTTCTGTAACGTAACAGTTTTTGACATATAAGGCTACTCCGCCTCCTCTCCCCTTCGTTCAGTTTATGTGAAAGAGGTTATAGCGCTCCATGTCTACATTCCAGCGATAGGAGTCATCCCACCAGGTTTCAGTGATGCCTATTACATCATATTTGTGGTGTTGTGCTAAAAGTTGGAGTTTGTCTTGTTTATTTTCCATGCTCTGTGCATTAGTGTAAAGATATGTGAGCCCCTGAGATCTTCCCCTATTTGGGATTATTGTGCTTTCGGTACTTGGTCCTTGCTGCATTTGTGCAGCCCTCCATTTAGCCTTCTGGCAGTTCCCTAACTGTTCACAAGGCTGTTGTCCCCCTCCCCCAGTGGACCTAGTTTAAAGTGCACCTAATGAGGTTTGTGAGTCTGTGAGCAAAAAGATGTTTTCCTACTTGTGTGAGATGCACCCCATCCCTAGCCTCCTAGAAAAGCAATCCATGGTCAGGAAAGCCAAAGCATTCCTCCTGACATCATTTTCTAAGCCAGTTATTGACCTGTACTAGTTTTCTGGGAGGAGGGATGAAAAGACCACCTGTACATTACACTGTTTTATCTTTGTTCCAAGAGCTTGAAAGTCATTTATGATCTTTTGAAAAGTATGCCTAGTAGTATCATTGGTTCCTACATGAATCAACATGAGGGGGAACTTAAAGAGCCTGGTGAGCCTGGTGATATGGCGTATCCCCCCCCCCCCCGGAGGCAGCGTATTTCTCAAGACATCCCATCCGGTCTGGAAATGACGGCTTCCATTCCTCTAAGGAGGGAGTCACCTACTATCAAGACCTGTTTCCTTTGGGGATTGACAAGGTCCCTTTTGTGTAATGTAGTGTGCAGGTCCCCAGAAAAGTGATCCTGTTGATGTGAATTGTGTAGGTTTAAAGTGTTGTCCTACTCCTTGAAATCCCCGGTGCATTTGTCAAGGACAATCCATTTGGATTCGTCCAAGTGTTGTCCCAGTCAGGGCTATCCCCCGCCCATTGATAAAGGACGATCCACTGAGCAATATCTAAGCCATTCTGGTCTTCTCCAAGATGTTGCATTTCCTGGTCAGCTGTGAGTTGTGTGAGAATTTGGAATCTATTGTGTAACTGCAGCTGAGCAGAGGTATTATGAGGAGGCTTCCCCTTAGAGAGGAATGTCTCTAAAGGTGACATTCCTCCAAACCTGAGGGTTGTCCACATCTGAAGCGATCTCCTCATAAGCCTCCCCATGATGTTGGTGTGATGTGCGTGTCTAGGACAGTGTACTCTGTGGTGTCCAAGAACAGCTTGAGTTCCTGAATGTCCTTAAAAGGGTCTTAATATGGTTCTCGAGTTGTTGGATCCTCTGTTCCATGTGAGCCATCTGTCTACACTTGGGACAGATGTAATTGACTAATTGTTGCATGAAGAAGCTGAACATGCCAAAACTTGTGCATGAGACAGGAAAGTTTTGTGTTTGTTTCATCTGCAGACTGCTAATAACCTCCCTTTTTGTGTGTTTGTTTTATGTTGTTTCATGTATGCAGGGGTAAAGTTGTGGATTAGTGAGGGTGTATGAACACTCACTCCCAGAGAGCTTCAAAGAACAGGGAACCATCAGTCACTAATTGCTGCCCTGAAACTGTCAATCACTGCTGGCTAAAGAATTTAACCTCACCTCCCAAACAAAACAAACACTCAGAGCAGCTAGTCTGAAACACACACTCAGATTTCTAATGCATTCTAAGACAAGACTTACCTGAAGCAAAGGCAGCAAAGACAGCTTCTTGCTTCCTCAACTTCTGTGAGAGGTTGTGAGTTATGTTGGAAACTATGAAAGTGGGGTATTTATTTATTATAGACTATAGATCTTTTAACAGTTACTGAATTCTTGACTTCCCTCCAGAGCCCTGTAAATACTGGAAGTACATTTAGCTTGAAACCTGGAGATCTTCTGATGGATTTCACAGAAGCCACCCCTATGGTAAATGACTTCATTTTACAGCCTTGGAAGTTAAATCTTGAAAAAGAATTTCTTAAAATTGCTAGCAAATTGTAATATTTTAGATGGCGCAATAATTGATTTGCGTGTTTTACTCTTTTGGTTACAGGGGTTAATGAAGGCATCATTTGAGTAGAATTCTGGTTCTGGTACTGGCTTTTCAAAATTCTAATCCTAAAATGTATGCACAACACAATGGAGGTTTCTTGGATACCAAATTATAACTTTCATGCCATACCTGGCAATATTGGGGGAGGAATCCTTGTCACTCTGATTTTCTGAAAACCTATGTGTGACCTCATTCAATATAACAGGATATTTGATTTTGTTTGATTTACAACTGGTATCACACTAAACTCTAAGAGCCCTTCAACACATCAGTAAAACCCATGCTGAAATGGGTTAAAGTAACCTGCTTCAGCATGAGTTCTAGTTTCCACCCCGGGGGAGGCCACATGCTATCCCAATTGAAATAGGGATAGCATGAAGCCACCCATGAAAACCTCTATTTACCCCTTAAAATGTACTAAAAAGGTCCCTGGCAACCATGAATTGTCTCCTTGTGTCCTCCTCATCGGGGGGATGAGGAGGACGCAAGGAAACAATTCATGGTTGCCAGGGCTCACACTTGATTTTCTCACACCAAGGGGATGGGGAAAGAGGCTTCATGTCTGTCGGAAACCGTTTTTAGTATGTTTTATGAGGTAAATCAGGGGTTTGGGGGAGGGGGGAGCACCTTCCCGCACCTTTAGGCTCGAGGAGCCCTAAGGTGTGAGATGACTGTGAGGACACAAACTGGGAAGTCAGTCAGTCCCCACAAGTCCAATACCTCACTAGACCCGGGCCCAGATCTAATGAAATATTTAATTAATATGGAATAAACCAGGGAAACCTTGATTTATTCTGTATTACGTCACTTTTACCAGATGCATTATTTGGATGCCTCTGCTAAAAGCCAAAAAAGGTCCCACATTCTGGGCCTGTCTGAACAGGCCCTAAGATGAATATGAATTGATTGGATCTGTGGATGTTGTTAAACCAACTTCCAAAAACCCAGCCAATGCTGAGCAATATGATCCTTTTGACAGAGCAGCACAATACCTATTACTGTTTTAAGATATGGTGTGGCATTTTGTTCTAGTTGATGGTAAGATCCTTTTGTCTGTCCACTCTTCAAAATGGCCTCACTTCCATTTGAACAAACTACTGATTTGCATTATGATGAATTGTGCTTGGCTGATCTATGTTTTTGTCCCTGGCTTTCACTCAATTGTGTTGTTTATTTGAACATTTAATAATTATTTATACAAAAAGAGTAGTGGAATAAAATGGGGAACATTTGTATTCATCTCCTGAGGTTGAGCATCATCCATCATGAGACACTGGGTAGCACCATGCCTAACCCTTCCTCAGGCAACAAATTTAAGTGCTGGCTGGGAAAACTTTTGAGTGCTAGTTTCATTTAACACTACAATATTCTTCTCTGAAGTCATGGGTTTTCATTTTTTTTCTGTCATCCCTCATTTCATTGTTTTTTATCATCCCAGCAGCCCTCTCCATTCCTTAGGATTTCACCTTTCATGTATTATTACTTCTCACAACCTCTGAGGATGCTTGCCATAGATGCAGGTGAAATGTCAGGAGAGAATACTTCTAGAACATGCCATATAGCCCGAAAAATCTACAACACCCAGTAAATCTACACTTTCCCAAAGATAACTACAGTGATCCCCATTCAGGGATTAATGTTAATATATTTTTAAATGAATGCTCTAAGTTTTCAAAACAAACTCTAGGTTAAATAAGGTCATTCATCTGACAGATTCACCATCTGTTTTCAGATGAGACTTCACAGAATTATAAAGGTGCTTCAGACAACATTGTCTTCCATTTGTTTCTGTCTCTTTTGTTAACATGCTTAGCACAAACATACATACATGTGTACATGTAATTTTAAGAAGGAAAGACAAAATAGCCTTTTCCTTGCTAGCTTCCTTACAGCAGGATATAGACCCCTGCCTTATTCTGTGTTGTCTTTGTTTCGCAACAACATGGTGATTTAATTGTCATTCAAGATACAGTCAAAAAGAGGTAGCAGCCAGGGCTGATTCCTGGACTTTTTCCTGTTTCAGGAGCAGCAGCAGCAAAGCTATTTTCCTTCCTGCATGAAGATGCTCACTGCCCTACCAAAATTAATTTGATGACTAACAACCATCTTTGTACTGCCTCTGCAATAGATGTATAACAGCAGTAAATAAAATAGCCAACCTTAGGCTGTTATTTCAAGAAATTCCAGTCTGCTCAAGCTAGCTTTAATAGCAGCTTCCCATAGTGCTTGTGGTCATTGGGTATGTTGGGCAGACAGATCTTTTCCTAAGAATCTGCACCTTCCCTCCTTATAAAAACAAGGATTGTGCAGTATGATCAGTTTAGCAGATTTTATTTTGATAATGTTTTAAAATATTGTTTCTTTATCACATTTTGGTTAAACCAAGTTAGATATGTACCTCTAATAAAAGTTGGCAACAATGGCATTTACTCTATACAGTCAGCTCAATATCTACTCCAGAGAATGATTTCCCCATAGACCGAATGAAATGTTTCAGCATGTATGTTGAAGTGCATCTGCCAAATGGTGTGTTATTAAATCATTCTTGTGTGTCAGTCCAAATGTTTCCAATGCTTTGCTTCATTTCCCCCCTTTGTATGTTGTAAATAACATTTTTTCTTTATCTTCCTTAAAGATAAAGGCATTCCCTGCTGCTACATCTAATCCTTTTTTCGATCCTTTTCCAACACTACCACAGCTTTCTGTAAGTAGAAAATGCAAACAACCAGTTGCATTGAACACACTTGCAATTCCACTTCATTTCAAAACATGATCCGCAAAGCAAATATGCTTTACCATGAAAATTAAATTATTTAAAAAATAATTAAAAGGTACAAGTCAGAAAAAAATGTTCTTCTATACAGTCAGCAATATGTCAGGCTACTTCATACTTCAGCTGTATATTTTATCAGTACTTTAAATTATTTTAAATATATAGTTAATTACACTTGGTCTAACAAATGGTAATAAAAACCAATTTGGAACTTAAAGGAGTTGCAAAAAATATTATGTGGCGTTACGTTTTGTCCTTCAGTGAATCTGCCCGCACCCCACATGGAGATTTTTTTTCCCTTTTTCCATTATGTTTCTGCCTGGATTTGATCTCTCATGACTGTTATTTCCATTGGGAAACTCTCATTGATTCTGGTTCACTTCCACACAATTATGGTAATGATGCATTTCTGCCGCCTAGGGACCTCAGACTGATGCACAATTATATCACAGTATAAAAACAAAACTAAGCCAAAGCAATGACAAATTATAATTATGTAGTTTAGACTGCTTGTTGGACTCTCAAGCAAGATGGAGCCAGGCTAATTTATCTTACAAGAGAGTTCCATAGACAAGGTGCTGTTGGGAGACTCAGGATTTCAAATTCTGATCAGTCCATGCAGAATAAGGCAATCTTACAGGTATCTTAGCTTTAAGTCATTTCGGGATTTATAGATCAAAACCAGCATCTCAAATTGAATTCAGAGCAATGCAAACGAGTGCATTGATAAATTGGCTTTAAAGTAGATGCTAGAGTAAACTAGGCAGTAACTGATAGTAACTGGAGGTTTTAAACACTTCTCAAAAGAAAGATGCATATATAAAATATTACATAAATGTAATCAGAAGGCATGGGTGATCCTGACCAGATTCACATTTTGCAGAAGATCATTGCATTCCTGGTTGCAGCAGCCTCCCAGACTTTCAAGAGCAGTGTTTGGTCCAAAACCACTCCCAAGCAGTGACTCTAGACATGAGTGAAAATGCTTTTGACAGCACAACATTGTCCTAATTTCTTCACAAACCAAGCTTCAAGTCATTTCAAAGTTGTATTAAATGAAAACTATTCCATCCCACTGTTTTTTCCATGTTTTGATTTTTGAATGTACTTTCTATCATCTTTAGAAAATGCCTTTTAAAATGCAGTAAGAAAACTCTGGTTTAGCCATGCATTTTGGGGCGTGTGATATTGTGAGCTGTCCTTTCTTACTTCAAAAAAAAATGTAACATTTTCTTACCCTGGTCATCTGATCGCTCTCCTTCTCAGCTGCAAAGGAAAAACAAAACCCTTCATATAAATATTAAGAAAACATAAGGAACAATATTAAATCCTGAAGAAATCCATAACGTAACCATCATGAGGCCAAGTAACAGTCCACTAGCACCACCTTCTGGTAACATGCAGCTAAATAAGACCAGAAGTACTACAAAATGGTGCGCCAAGTCCTATTCAGTCAAATAACCTAGAAAGATACAAGAACTGTGATATCAAATGTAACCAAGATTTCTCTCAAAATCAACATGGTGCTCTGCATCTGTCCTGTTTTTGACATAGATATTATTATTATTATTATTATTATTATTATTATTATTATTCTGACACAAAACCACAGTATATCACTGCAAACGAGATCTATATGCTGGATTTCATATTACAAAATCACGTTGAACACTTCCCAAGTGTCTAGGACTGTGTGATGTATTTTCGAATGATGCGTGCAGATCCAAGTAAGGTGCTCTTTTGCAGTTGACAGATCATGATTTTGTCAATGTTTATTGTTTCCAAATGCCAGCTGAGATCTTTTTGCACTGCACCCAGTGTACCAGTGACCACTGGGACCACCTGTACTGGTTTATGCCAGAGCCTTTGCAGTTCGATTTTGAGGTCCTGATAACGGCTGATTCTTATTATTATCATTATTATTATTATATTTGTAATATACTGAAAGCAGTACCCAAAGCTGTTTTTCCGGTTTGGATTGGATTACCAAAGCAAATGACACAATTTTCCCTGAGACCTTATTTTAAAGGATGTGATTAAAAACTGGCAGGAACTTATAATTCCTTCTTTCACTGATATTAGAATTTATTTCAAATAAGTGTTTATTACCTCAATCACACAATTTACAACATCTTCTTTTATCAGTGTTTATCAGCAAGGATGGACATGAGTCTGCCTTCATTGCTCCAAGCTACAGTAACTGCAGTCAAGCCCTCCCATTTCTGCTTATGTCTCTCTTTAAAAATACTACTGAGAGACAAGTCCCACTGCGATAAATGAGCACAACATATGCCTTATCACTAGTTGTTGTACAACTATGGATTGTCACCTTGTCATGGTGAGGGGGCTTGCATGTTCCAATGAACCTGCGGGTGCAACCACTGGAGTCATACATCATCAGGAGGGGCCACGAGGAGGTTCCAGACCAAGCACAATCCGAAGACTCAAAGACCTCAACAGCGGAACAGGCGGAGGATAACATGTTACATGTTACAATGGCTGTGAAGGCAGAAGAAGGCTGCAACAGATGGAGAAGGCACCGTCGTCGTGTTAACCATGCGGCTGGATGGGACCTCAATCTGTGAAGACTGTGTGTTGAGGAGCTGTGCACTGACCTCAACACATTAAAAAAAACCTATGCACAGGCATCTTCTCAGAAAAATAAAAACAAACTAACATAAATCCCACCACGATCAGCGAGTGGCAACAGGGGCAGCCCTGAGTGACAGACTGGAACATGGGTGGTGGATATGGATTCAGTTGTTCTACCTGGATATGGATTCAGTTGTCCAAGGCAGTTGAGTAGTTCAGCAGCTGTATCCATGACTCAGCAGCACTTTTTAGGATCCAATCTGCTCACCCCACATGGGGAAGGGGCTAGAAAAGGTGCCCTAAACATAATCTGCCTCTCTTATCCCTGACTGGACTGCTGGCGTCCAGTCAGGCCAAAAAAGAAAAATAAACTTCAAAACATAGAATGTACAAGACACAGTTGGACAACACTGACAGTGAACACCCAAATGCAGGACTACTATCATCACAAGGGAGCTGGGGTACTTTAACATAGCAGCACTTCAGGAGCAGGAGAGGGACAGCTGAAGGAAGAAAAAGGCAGCTACATCTTCTTCTGCAAGGGACTACCTGAAGAAGACTGGAGAATACATGGAGTTGGCTTTGCTATCAGAAATGACCAGGTGAAGCACCTGACCGAAGTACCCATTGGCATTAACAAACAACTCTCAACCCTCCGAATTAACCTTGCCAAAACCCAACAGGCAACCATCCTAAGTGCCTATGCACCAACACTAGATGCTGATGAAGACATCAAGAAATTTTTTTACTATCAGCTGGACACCGTCCTATTGAAGATACCCAAGGAGGACAAAATTCCACAACAATAAACCAAGGATGAGCTTGCAGCATTGCTTAGTTTGGAAGAAGTCAGTAATGCCATCAGCTAACAAAAAAATAACAAAGTCAGTGGATCCCTGCTGAAATCTTTAAGGGGATGGACCTGAGTTGACACAACAACTCCACCAGCTCATTGAAAATTGTGGGAGACAGAGAACATTCCAACGGACTTCAATGATGCCACCATCATCACCCTTTTCAAAAAAAGGGGAAAGAACAGACTGCGGAAACTACATATTGAGGTATCTGCCTTCTAATCTCCGCTGGGAAAATCCTCGCAAGAATCCTTGCAAACCGCCTTCTGCCCATCTAAGAAGACACCCTCCCAGAATCCCAGAACAGCTTCTGCCCCTCCAGAGGAACAGTGGATATGATCTTCACAGCACAACAGCTCCAAGAAAAATGCAGGGAACATGGCATTCATTGACCTTGCAAAGGCATTCAACACATTGAATCACAGTGCTCTGGACCACCCTCCAAAAAATTGGGTGCCCTGACAAATTTGTGAACATCTTATGGCTCCTCCATGATCACATGATGGCAACAGTCTTGGACAGCAATGGCTCCTCAAGTGACCCATTTAAGATGGAATCAGGTGTCAAACAGGGATGTGTTATTGCCCCAACCTTATTTTCCATCTTCATCACTATAATACTTCATCTTGTTGACGGGAAGCTTCCCACCGGAGTGGAAATCATCTATCAGATAGATGGCAAGCAGACTGAAAGCCAAAACCAAGGTCACAACAACATCTGTTATAGAACTCCAATATGCTGATGACAACATCATATGTGTGCATTCAGAAGAAGACTTACAAGCCACTCTCAACACTTTCACAGAAGCATATGAGAAGCTCACCCTCTCATTGAACATCGAGAAAACCAAAGTGCTCTTCCAGCAGTTACCAGCCAATCCCTCTCCAGTGCCAGAAATACAGCTTAATTGTGTAACATTAGAATATTTATTTATTTATTTATTTACAGTTCTTATATTCTGCCCTTCTCACCCCGCAGGGGACTCAGGGCGGATTACAGTAAACACATATATGGCAAACATTCAATGCCAGTTTGACAAACAACATTTAACAGACAAATACACCGAGGCTATTTAACTTTTTCTGGCCGCCAGGGGAGCTGCTGCTTTTCATCGTCCATCAACGACACCGATGAAGTTCTTCCGCATTCCACATTCCCCGGAGTCTTTTTTCTTTATGGCCTCATAAATTAGTTAAATTTAGCCTCCCACACAAGGTGGTACCTTATTTTCCTACTTGACAGATGCAACTGTCTTTCGGGTTGCAAAGGTCGACAACGGGCTACACAATGGCTGGACACCCACTCCAGCCCGGGCTGGCTTTGAACTCATGACCTTTTGGTCAGAGTGATCTTAATGCAGCTGACACTCAGCCAGCTGCGCCACAATCCCGGTACCTTGGCAGCAACCTCTCCACAAAAGTCAACATTGACACTGAAATACAACACCGCCTGAGCTCTGCGAGTTCAGCATTTTTCTGAATGAAGCGGAGAATGTTTGAGGACTGGGACATCTGTAGGGATACCAAAGTACTTGTTTATAAAGCCATTGTCCTCCCAACCCTGCTGTGAAACATGGACTGTCTACAGACATCACATGCAACTCCTGTAATGATTCCATCCTCCGAAAAATTCTGCAAATCTCTTGGGAAGACAGGCAGACAAATGTCAGCATGCTGGAAGAAGCAAAGACCACCAGCACTGAAGCGATGGTCCTCCACCATCAACTCTGCTGGATTGGCCACATTGTCCGAATGCCCGATCACCGTCTCCCAAAGCACTTGCTCTACTCCAAACTCAAGAATGGGAAATGGAATGTGGACAGGAAAAGAGATTTAAAGATGGGCTTAAAGCCAACCTCAAAAACTGTGGCATAGACACCGAGAACTGGGAAGCCCTGGCCCTTGAGCCAGTTGGAGGTCAGCTGCAGAATTTGAAGAGGCACGAATGGAGGGCGAAAGGGAGAAACGTGCCAAGAGGAAGGCCGCCTTCCGTCTGGAAACCAGTCCTCACTGCGGGAGAACATGCGGATCAAGAATAGGGCTCCACAGCCACTTAAGGACCCACCACCAAGACACCACATCTGACAATCATCCCCGAGCTATGAGGGATCGCGTAAGTAAAAGTAAGTAAGTTGTACATGATACTTTCTTATAGATAATGGGAACTACACAACATGCAATGATTCAGCTGGGCTACACTCGAAAGCACACAAAACATTTCTAAACAAGCATTAAGCATGACCTTTGTAACTAACCTCTTTTTGCTGCACTTGAAGTAGATCAATGCCCACAAGTTAAATTAATTATTTACTAAGATTTACCGTACTTATTAGCCTTTCATGAACGATGCATCAGAAAGGCAAATGAATTTGGCATGTTGCAGGAGTAGAAGGAACTAGTAAAAAAAAAAAGGTAGAGATAAATGGCAAAACAATCCAACAGATAGGGCCGGCTTTTCCAAACTAAAGGTTTCCAGTATTGTTGGGATTTCCCTCATTCTCAAACAGTAATTATGTAATGGGATTAGCAGTCCATGTGGAGAAAAAAAGATCATACTGGGGAAGGCAGTCTTAAAATTACAAACAGCATTTTTAAGGTGCCATGACAAAATGTGCCCCTCAAATCAATGGTGGCAGCTTCTGTACCATTTCTGTAACTCTTCTGTTCTGGAAACAAAAGTCCTAAATAACGAATTGCTTAATGCTAAAATAATTAATAAAACAATGTCCCTGTTTGTGTTGTTAATAATGAATTCACCAGTTTCTAATGATTGTCAAATTAATGTTAAAATCTATCATTCCAAACTTTGATAACTATGTATTCCTTCAATTTCCTCCAGTTAGCTAAAGGCAATGTACTGGTGGCTCCCCTTTCCCCATTGCATCCTCACTGGAAAGCTGTGAATTCAGTCAGCCAGACTGTCCAAGGTTATGACCTAATGGGGACTTGAACCTAATTTTCCCAAGTCCCATTCAAACACTGATCTCTAAAAAACTCTGGCTTCTTCCTTCAGTGCCTAATCATTTTGTGAACCCATGTGACATTTTTACAAAGCAATGTGAAAAAAAACAGGAAAATTTTGCAACCACTGGTTCAGATCACATTATTTTAAACCTTTATAAGTAAGCCTATTATACTTATATAGAAGTTAAGAATATCTCACTACAATATGTATGAAACATAGTATTAGGGATTATGTTATGGTAAGCCCTTTCAAATTCATTGACTTCTGTTCTATGTTGAGAACATCATACTAGATTTAATGGTTCTGCTAAAATTATATACCCGTATTTAGAAAAAACTTTTTGATACATAACTTGCAGTTCAGCTTCTCAGTCTGAGTGTTTTTCTACTTGCCCATGTACATTTCAATTTTAGTACCAGTACAATTGTGTCTTTTCGGTGCTTGATTATTTAAAGTGCCCCATCTTTTGCTTATGTAGAAAATTGTTCATGGATCTTTCTTTGACCTTTATAATCTTGACATTAATAAAAAGTAAATGAAAAGTTATCCATTTAGAGGAAACTTATTTAAATTCTAGATTCATTAAGAATGTATTGTTGAATTTCCTGAAAGCATTATTAAATTGCAGTTATTGTACAATAAGTTCAATCTTTTGTAAAACTACATAAAATATCGTATTTTTCACTATAATAGGCATATGAATGAAGTATACATTATCACTATATAGATTGTCTTCTACTTTGACATTTAGAAATTGTCAATGTTGGAATTATATGAAGAGTAACTCTGTTCAGATAAATCAGCACCTTGAATTGTCTTGTTTTATCTGAACATCCTACCACAAAATCCTACCACAGGATTTTATTTATGGGAATGGGGATGGTCTCATAAATGAAATGAAAAAATCCTGTAATAGGATTTTAGGTTTCTTTCTTGAACTGAGGTGTCCATGCAAATGTATCCTATGGAGACACAGGTTTCCACAAATGCCCCGAGCTTACAGCTCATGCTGCCAGTGCCCTTAAATAGACACTACTACTAAAAATTTAAATCTGATTAATTGTTCTACATTCTCTTTTCTTCATATTGGTATGGCGTGTATCTCCTGCAGGGCATTGAAGTTCATAGAATTTTAGCAGTCAATTCAGAGAAGTCCATATTTCATTTATTGTGTCATTGCCACAAAGGTCTTCTTGCTAAAAGGCATTTAATATATACAGTTTTTATGAAAAAAAATGTCATTCATTTTGATTTTTAAAAGAATACTGCTGTAAAAGAATTTGTGGCTAAAATGTGAAGAAAGAAAGGAACAACAGCTTTTGTTCTCTCTATTGTTTTTATTTGTAGACAGACTTTAGAGACAGTAAGCTGCAGTGTTGTGTAGTGTTATCATCTCCAAAGATGCTGTCTCCAGTTATGCCATCACCTGGGAGAAGGTCTCTTGTGGAAACAATTCCAACTTCACCTGCGCAAACCATCCATTCACCTCACAAACCTGTTTATCTGGCAGACAGGTAATATGTCCTTCTTCCAAACAGATATTACTATATCTCAGCAGTCGGTTGTGGCAATTCATGCTTGGAGGGGCAAAGAAGTCAAGCAATACCACTGAACATGGAAAGGGAAGAGTGTTGGCCTACTTTTGTAGGTCACGGGTGGTGAATCTGTGACCTTTTAAAAGTTGTTTGACTTTGGTTCCCATCATCCCAAACTAGCTGAAAAACTAGCGAGAGAGCATGGGAACTAGTGAGCGATCATCAACACCTGAGGTCACCACCAGGTTCCCTGGACTTGGTTTTTAAAGATGCTAAGATTCACATCCTAGACGGATTTTTTATCCCCTTCCCATATTTTCTTCCTTGTGACATTTTCTGGACTGTAAGCCTTGCACCCTCTGTAATACAGCATTTAAAAATACATTGGTGGCTTAAAGATAGTATACATGTTGTATAATCATATTATCTGTATCCACTTAAAATAGTCAGTTCTTACAAAACTCAGTTTTCAAAGTGATACTCGGTATGAACTTCATACAAAGATGATTTTGAAATTGTGGATTTTATTACATGAGTGAGGCAAACCAGCATTGAACCAACATTGTCACCCTATCACAGGATGCTGTATGTATTCCATTGCTGGTCACCATGATTAAACATACCCACATTATTGACGGGCAAAACCCATCAATAACAGTCAGTCTTGCAATGTTTCCATCATCTGACTTGTGTGATCGATTTGCCCTGGTACACTCCCTCCCTCCCCATCACTCTTCCCAAGCAATTTCAGTAATATTTGGCTTTTAAAAAAAAACATTGCTGGAAATTGCTTTAAAAATAGTGCCTACTGCCAGCCATTTCAGGAAAGGAGAATCAGAGAAGCCAGGGGGCAATCAAGTCTGCCTCACCACACTGAAAAAATCTACTTCAATTCATGCAAAATCTGGTGCAATATCATTATACACCAGAGGAACAAGGAGAAGCCCATTGGGTAATTCCACAGCAAACAGATATGAGGCCTCATTGTAAAATTAGATAGTAGAACTAAGCAATTGGCAGAGGACCCTTGACTTCTCTAGCTTCTGGGGAGGGGCTTGACCAAGACCATATCTATGCTGACCATAAAATGTACTTTCAAACGGCATTATATGGGACCCAAGATGCATAATGGATTTCAGCTACATTATAATCCAAAAATAATACTTTTTCAAGATTTTCACTATTTTTTGTTTGTGGGTTGTTTCCTTTAATTATCAAATCAAATCATTTTTAAATCATTTCACTTATTTAAGGGTCTCATCAGATGGTGCAATTTTAGAGTCCTAGGACACTTTCACCCTGTTTAGGGGACGGAGCCCACACCGGCCATCAACACAAGTCCTCACCGGGAGGGCAATGCTTCCCATGTGTGATGGGGTAAGCATCACCATGAGGGAGTGGTTCACGGGGTGACAGATTCGCCCTGCTGCCCTCTCTGTCCAGCGGCAAAGCCAGGCAAAGCAGGACACCTTGTCTGGCCTCTGTGATAAGGTCATGAAATATGAATGATTTATCTTTGATTTTTTAACATTTTTATTTAATAGTAAAAAAGAAACTCTTTACTCTGGTAGATGTTACTGAAGTGTTGTTTTAACCTAAACATGTGACATGTTCCCGTAATTGCTTGTATCTTCAATTCCACAGCACTCAGCCCTTAAGGCATGAACTTGACCGAGAAAAGATGATGAAAAGACTGCTGATGACAGAATTATGAAAAATCTCACTTCGGTCTCATTTGGAAAATGGATCAGGGCCTTTTCTGTGCCTTCTGTCTGTTTACATTCCTTTGCTTCTGTATATACAACCTAATGCTTCGTGACAGTGGCAAATATTCTGTCCTCCTGGATTACTCACAATTGTCTGGAAAGTTTTACATAAACTTTGGGGGCCTTATTTATATATTTGATACAGTGGTCAGGATCCAAAGAACCAGGAAATGAGTTGTGTGTGTTCAAGGGGAAATTAGATTAAGTTCCCTCTCTCCACCCCATTCTACATGGTAAACTGCTTCTTTAAAAAAATACAATTTTAATGAAGTTTGTGAACTTGCTGCAGAAAGGAGGACAGAAAAAAAATAAAAGTTCAGCTTGGTTAGTCCACGCCTTCTGTGTGAATCTAAGCAGTTATTTGGATTTCTTCTGTTCTTTTTCCCTCATAAGTACTTACAATTTTATATATGTCCAATAATGGAGTCAAATCTAAGTGTGCCAAGGACTGGGGGTGGGGTGAGCTAAGATAAAAATAACATCCATTAATATATGCTGATTTCTATTCAGAAAAACATTTCTGTATATATGTTAATAACTGCACAAATATGAACATTGTGTAGTATATTTTGATAGCATTTTGTAGATAACTGCATCACACTACTACTGTTTCTTTATATTAAAACACATTTGTTTCTAATAGATCATTTTAAATAGAAGGCTAAGTTGGTATTCCGTTGCACATAAGGGATTTATCCCTTGGAAAATAAAACACACACACACACACATATATAATTTTTAGCTTAAATTATGGCACAGGGAGAAAAAATAGCAAATCCAGATATTATTTTGATGGGTAGGGGAACACTATAATTTTCATATTATATGTACAAATTATCAGTTAAGATACTAAATTAATTCTGTTAACAGCATTTAGCCTCACATAATCATACCAAAGAAACCTGAAGTCGGAATACTTTTAAATAAAACTATGATAATGCTGGAAAACCATGTTTAAGATTCATTTTCATGTGTTTAAAATGTGTATGTTGAAATTGTTGGTTTATTCTGAGGACTTAAAAGAACAGTGTACAATTTCTACAGAATTCATACAATAATCCTAATATGGTAGTCTAGCTAAAATAGTTATATCCATATATTTTCAACACACATTAGAAAACAGTTGATTACACTTTGAATTTTATCTTAATTAGCAAAATAATCTTGTTTCCAAATCATAGAAAGCACCTTTTTCAAAATGTATCATACTTAATTATTTCTCGTATAATCAAATGGCATCAGATTTGTAAGAAAAACTTTGTTGAGAAATTGACACAGCAGAGTGACTTTCTAGGCTTCACCACATTTTCAATGGAACCTAATTATTCCCATCAACTGAGCTTGTAGCTCTCACTTTAGGAATGAAGTGAGGACTGTAGAGTACTCCCATCTCACATTGTAATAACTGGGACTTTCTTTTGAAACCTTGTCTTCATGCTGTTCCAGAACAGCAAATTACTGAGTGGCTAAAACTGTAAACAGCATCCAATTACTTCATTTCACCTAATGTATGGCGTCATAGAATGTAAGGTGCACCCCTTTTTTAACTTTAAATTTTGGGAGTGAAATTCTTATATTTTTTAGAATTTCCTCTCCATGCACAATACCTCACTTTTGTTTCAAATTGGCTTGGTAGTGCAGTCTTTCCCCTGGGGTGAGGAGGGAGTATGAAGAAACCTGGAAGTCATCTTGTCTGCATGGGTCTATATTCCTAATTCTATGGGCCCATTGGGGAGACAGGGAAGGTAGGAAGGAGCACTTAGTTCAGCTGTCTGACTAAGGACAAAATGAGAAGGGCTACCAGAACCATTTCAGGTTGGAGTCCTTCCTCCACTGCCATCTCTTCTCTTGGAGGTAAGACAATTAAAAAAAACACACCAAAAATGGCAAATCTAAAACTTGGAAAATCTATCAAAGCTTAAATGGGAAACAGTGTGACTTAGCCCATTTTTCCTACTTCCAACAGACCTTCTCAACCTCTGAGGATGCTTGCCATAGATGCAGGCGAAACGTCAGGAGAAATGCCTCTAGAACATGGCTCTATAGCCCGAAAAAACCCACAAGAACCTAGTGTGACTTAGCGTTGGTTTCATTGTCACAGTGGTGGTAGTTATTATATCTGTTTCACAGTCTACTAGATGTTACTGACTGAAGTTTTATCAATGATTGGGATTCTGTTCATGAATCTAAGAATATGTTCATACTTTGATGAATGTCACTTCTCGCAATTGTGCTGTTATCTTATTGATGACAGCTTCATTAACTTATGCTCTCAATCTGTTTGGAATTGCTGGCAGAAAACCTATACCCATTGGGAACTCTTTTCCTAGAGGCATCAAAACTCAATTTTTGGCTCTCAATAATACATAATCATTTCCTTCTCTTTTTCTTCAGTTCTGCTGTCCCCTAGCACTGGCACATCTATAATTCAAGCTTTCTTTTTCCCAAGCATAACTATGTCTAGCACATAATATTCTAATTGTTTATCAGTTTGAATCTTAAAGTCGTACAATATTTTTGTTTCAGTATTTTTCACAACTCTTCAGACATATATTTCTGTACATTCTTTGCAGATGATCACTGTCATTACCATTTAGCACCATCAATGTACACGGCACTGTATAACAATAAATTAATTGGCATGGCCAATGTGAAGATTACTATGAGGTGCAATTCTCACATTAGTGTGACTCCCAATCCTGCTATAAATATATCACAGCTGCCACAGCCAATGGAAATGGAAAACCAGCCCATACTAAGTAAATCCTTTAATACTTACATGTACAGATCTCAGAATTGTGTATCATCTGTTGATGAGAGAATATAAAGCTGTATCACCTATCTCTTCCCTTTTTTGTTTTTCTTCAAAATTAGTTGTCCCATTAGTCTCTCTTTTGTGGACATACATACTTGCACTCCATATTCTGCTCCAACATACAATTCTAGCAAATGGAACAGGACTTTTTGTTTGTTTGTTACCTAGATAATTTGAATTGTAGAAACCTGTTGTAATTTCTATCTCGTGGTCTCTGTGAAATCACACATATGGTAGCAATTCTTGTGCATGCACAGCAGCTCCAACCCTATAACAAGCTCTCCATACCTTTAAGGCTATGGCCCCACCCATCCTCTCCATAGTACATATAGGACACAGGTGGAGCTGTAGCACCAGTTTCTTTTTTCCGCCTGTGCAAGCAGCAGCATTAGGAACCCTCTCTCTATTCCATTCATTTATTCTGGTTTTTGACTTGGTTTGTTTGGTGACTCTTTGGATTTACCTCAACTTGGATTTCTGGACTGTTTGACCACCCTTGTTTGCTGCCTGTCTCGACCTAAGACAGTGTTTGACCATTCTCAGGCCAGTATGTCTGCAACACTTTCCAAAAAGTGCACTGCATGTGGGGTGAAGTTTCCTGTTTCTGACAGGCACTCCTTGTGTCTTTTGTGCTTGGGGGAAGCTTGTGTTGCCCAAACCTGTACTGTTTGCCAAACTTTTAACCCTCAAACCAGGAGAAGCCGGCAGGCAAATTTAAAAACCTTACTTTATGGGAAGCTGCTTCTCCCTGCTGTTTCCCCATGCTGAGCAGCTTCAGAGCCGCCGCCGCCAGCTGCGTCCTCCTCCACCTCTGGCATGCTCTGCTTCCCTGGTGACGCCGAAGCAGCACTGCCCGGCAAAGCTTCCAAGGGGAAGCAGAAGAGGGTGAAGGCTCCTGAGGCTGCTGTTGGCGTCCTGACTCCCCGGGCAGAAGAGCATGGGTGGAGCCAAGAGCCTGTGCCGGAAGGGAGGCCTTCTTCCGCTGAGGTGGCGCACGCGCTCCAGAGAGCCACACAACTCAAGCGCAAAGAGGTGGCCTTGCTCCCCCTAGAGAATGTAGCCCCCTTGCGCTAATGCTCCCTGTCCCTGCCTTGCCCTCCTCGAGGGTAGCAGTGGAGGAGCATGGGGCCAGAAGCATGGAGCCCGCCTCTGTGACAGCATTGCCTCCACAGCCCCAGGAGGAGCGACGGGACCATTCTCCTCCTCCATCAGCCCTTCCATCAGGGCCTCGGCTGGGATCCAGGTCCTCTGGAGCATTTTCCTGTTCTCCTTGTTCTCAGAGCCCATCTTCATACTTACCTTCATCACGATCTCATCACCGGTTGGCTCTGCCAGTGCATGATCAATTTCATCATGCCTATAGACGTATCCAGCCGTTACTTTCTGAATACATCCACTATTCTCCTGGTGGCAAAGTGTACCATTTTGGCCCTCCATGTGAACCCCCGGTGGCAACAGCTGCTTCATCAGACCTCCTCGCAGGCCACTCCAAAGCCTCAAACCATTTCTGAGGATGCAGAACCAGCCAAGACAGAAGATACGTCTTCTTTTTCAGCCTTAATGACTCGATTGACATGAGCCTTAGATATGCCAACTCCAAAGGTCCCAGATGTGGTGGAAGTGTCATTAATGACTTTTCAATAACTTTGAAGCATAGGTTCTTTTTATTGCAATTTCCAGTGTGAGAAGGTATATCAGATTACAGAAAACATTTAGACAAAGAATGACATTGGACATACAGATTCTATGCGACTACATTGGGTTAGAAATTACATTGGTTAAGAAAGGGCAATTACATTTTCACTCAACATTCTCACCACATGTACATGCATCCAAATGTTACCATATCCTTTTCTCCCTCCTTGGAGAAGCACCTGTTAGGCCAGACCCTGATTTTCTGCAGCCTGCCAATGCACAGTTCCATAACACCAAAACTTCAAAACGCCAAAATGCCAAAACTTCTTTCCCTAAGAACAATGCCAAGATACTGGTGTTTCCAAAATTATTAACTCCAACCACACATCCTTCCATCCTTCCATTCATTCCCACACATCATATTAAATTCACATTTATCAAATTTGCACATTGAATTATTACAGAAGATCCACTCTTCCCTTTGGAGCAGCAGGATGAGGACGTGCCTCCAGCATCAGCTTTGCCTTCACTTCCTTACCTCATTAAGTTGGCCTTCCACCAGCTACAGTGCCTCCTGTATCCAGACGTTATTATACCATGTATAGTGTCGACCTTGCTCAGGCACAATGGGTGGCGAGGCCACCTAACCCGAATTCTGTGATGGTTGATGTACATCATGGCAAGAATTCAAAGAAAACCCTCACCATGATCAGCAAAGCCTGCCTAGAGCATACCAGCAGGAGGCCCTGCTCTTAACCAGGGCACAAAAGGACATGGCCAAACATATGGCAGAGACAGCAGTGAGATTTTTTGCGATGGCTACTGCGATGCGCAGACACGCCTGGTTGAGATCATCGACACTTTCTGATGCAGGCAAGGCTCAAGCAGAGGAACTGCCTTGGCGTGATGATACTTTGTTTAATCTGGATACAGATACCAATCTCAAAGAGAAGGAAAAGGTGCGGCAAGTAGTCAATAAGTATGGCTTTACAACAACATCCTCTTCTCAGTCGAAGCCGCGATGGCAGCCACCTCCTGCTACCACTCATCGCTCCTACACAGGGCAACAGTCCTTTCTGCGAGCATGTTCTCCATCAGCAAATAGGCAGTCCCAATTAGGGAAGTCTCGGCAGACTGGTAACGGAAGTCCCAGGCCAAACCAAGACGCTGATTTTGATAGCTCATTGTTATCTTCTTCTCTGAGCACAACCTCTGTCCACGTGGTGCCATGGTCTTTGGGAAACCTTTCACTTTCTTTGTCCTGGGGGAATGACTGGCACTGTTCCTTCTGAAGTGGTGCTCCATCACAATGGACACATGGGTCCTGGATGTAGTCCACAGGGGCTATGCCATTGAGTTTAAATCTGCCCCAAAGGTGGGCTGCATCTGCGCCACTCCTATATCTGAGGTCTTGTTGGAGAAAGTGCGTAACTTGTTGGAAAAGAGGGCCATAGTGCCCCTCCATCTTTTTTCCCCTCAGGCATATTTTTCAAGGTACTTTCTTGTCTCCAAGAAGGACGGTGGCCAGCGCCCTATTTTAGAGAGCCCTCAAAAGGCACATCCATGCACACCGCTTTCGCATAGTCACACTTTTCACACTTCTCCCTCTTCTCTCTTAGGGAGCCTGGTTCACGACAATAGACCTCAAAGATGTCTATTTTCACATCACCATTGCATCCTAACACCATCGCTATCTGGCATTCATGATAGGCCAGGATGCTTTTTGCTTCCAGGTTCTTCCCTTCGGCATTTCAGCTGCGCTGCAGGTGTTTACTAAGTGTATGGCAGTGATGGCGGTGCACCTCCGCTTCCAGGGCATCACAGTGTTCCCCTGTATTGACGACTGGCTTTTGGTTGCCCAAACCCGAAAAGATCTCCAGCACATAGATACTACGTTATCTCTCTTGCAGGACCTGGGCCTTGTCGTCAATCGAGCCAAGTCACATCTGGAGCCGACTCAGTGTATCCATTACATTGGCGCCATCCTGGACTGCACGGTCTCATGAGCCTTCCTGCCAGAAGACTGTTACCAAGTTCTTCAGTCACTGATTCTTCACAACTTGCACAAACGCAAGGTACCAGCCAGCCATTTCTAGTCGCTCCTCAGCCACATGGCCTCCACGACAGCAGTGACCCCACTGGCACGTCTTCGGTTGCGACCACTGTAGTCTTGGTTTCTTCACGTCTTTCATCCTCTTCATCACAGCCCACGCAGAATCCTCACTGTCCCTGTAAGCATCCGGAGCTGACAGTGGCTGTGCCATGCCAATGTCTGCTGCGGCATGCCTTTCTGTTCCCGGCAGCCAACTGTGCAGCTTACAACAGATGCCTCTATGCAGGGCTGGGGTGCCCATTTGGGAGACCTTGTGGCTCAAGGTCGATGGTCCCGGCAAGAAGCCACGAACCATATAAACATTTTGGAGCTCCTTGCTATCTTCAAGGCACTCAAGTCCTTCGAGCCTTTTCTGCAAGGACAAGTTGTCCAGTTCCTCATAGACAACACCACTATGGGCTGGTATGTGAACAAGCAAGGCAGCACCCACTCCCGTTCCTGCTCCAGCTCACGTTGACCATATGGGACTGGTGCGTTCTCAGGAACATCCGCCTCACTGCCATTTATCTGCCAGGAGAGGATAACACTCTAGCCGATCGGCTCAGCAGGCAGTTGCCAGTGACGCACGACTGGTCGCTGCATCCTGACGAGACTGCCGCTCTCTTCCGCAGGTGGGGCTGGCCTACCATCGATGTCTTTGCATCACCGCAGAATGTGAAGGGTGACCTGTATTGTGCCAGACTGCCCCGAGACTCTCACCGAAGCTGTATCGGAGACGCCTTCAAGTACAGTTGGCATGGCCCTCTCCTTTACATGTATCCTCCGCTTCCCCTCCTGACGAGAGTTCTGGCGAAGATAGATGAAGTCTCAGAGACCTTTTCTTCAGTACTGGGCAGACGCTGCAGGCCTTCCTGTTTCGTCCCAGTGTCTTTCAGATCAAGTCTACTATGTACTTGGCGTATCAGATGGCCAGGAAAGATACTCTGGCCACAATCAAAGCCCATTCCACAAGGGCCATGGCCTTGACAATGGCGTATCTCAGTGGTATACATACAACAAAAATACCACTTGTATAACATAAACAATGATATAATTCAACAACAGTATATAAACATGCTGCACTGTTAACCTCACAGCGACAACAAACAATATGGTGCAAATTTTTAGTACAGTCGTATCTTCTTTAAGTAGCTTGTGGATCAGCCGACCACGACCGGTTTCGGCCTACCTCAGGCCTTCCTCTGGTGGACTGAAATTAATGTACAAATCAATGTTTTACTCGAGTAGCATACACATAGAGCATCTGTATCATTAAATATCATAAGTTACAACACACTTAAGTACTTACAAAGTTATACACTTGAACAAATTCTCCTCAGGGGATACAGATATTTTTGAGTCAGTGGTGTCTACATCAAAGAAACGAAATGTGGATATAAGAGCTTGAAAATTACTATGTTGAACATAATTATATTGTAGAAATACTTAATATTCAAGTATTTTACACATTAAGAAATTAGTAAAGTCTTCACACTTGTTATTGCATCCATATTTGTTGAACATATCCATTAAATACCATGAGTTACAACACATTTGAATACTTACAAAATTATACACTTGAAAGTATGTTCTCCTCGGGAGATACAATTTTTTTTTGTTGGTATCTACATAAAAGGAACAAAATGTGGCTATAAATTTTTGTAAATCACTATGTTAAGAATGGTTATTTTGTAGAAATATACAGTATTTTACACATTAAGAGGGTACTCACATGATACTCCGCTCTAAGTTGAGTTCTGGTTGCGAGTATGGGAAAGATCTTTGGTATCCCTCTATTTAAAGGGAAAAGAACTATTTCAGGTGAAGCTCAGTTGGAGCCATAGGAGCAAGAGTTGTGAACAGCAAACACCAGATGACACTGTGGGTGCTCTCCATGTATTTAAGAAGGGATGCATAGTATAATAAAGGTCCAGAAATTATGTGTAACAATTGTACAAATTTGGTTCATTCAAACCATGTGGGTATTCTGTCCTTAATCTAAAAATCCAGTATGCTTCTCTCCGTAGAAGTTTGTTGTGGAAATCAATTTGTTGGGAATGAGTGACCACTTCAAGGATATGGAACTTAAAGGATTCTGGGCTATGGTGTAAATCATCAAAGTGTTTGTAGAGTACATCCACACCTATAATTTGAGTTCAAATTTTCCCATTTTGCGACCTGCACCTCGAAGGGATTAGTTTATTTACTTATTTGTAGTTGTAATCTTTCCTATGTGGGTCAAACTCGCAGAGAGATAAGATCAAGGATAATTGAACACAGGAGTAAAATCAGAAATCATTCCAGGGAGTCTATACTCTACAAACACTTTGATGATTTACACCATAGCCCAGAATCCTTTAAGTTCCATATCCTTGAAGTGGTGTTTGCTGTTCACAACTCTTGCTCCTATGGCTCCAACTGAGCTTCACCTGAAATAGTTCTTTTCCCTTTAAATAGAGGGATACCAAAGATCTTTCCCATACTCGCAACCAGAACTCAACTTAGAGCGGAGTATCATGTGAGTACCCTCTTAATGTGTAAAATACTGTATATTTCTACAAAATAACCATTCTTAACATAGTGATTTACAAAAATTTATAGCCACATTTTGTTCCTTTTATGTAGATACCAACAAAAAAAAATTGTATCTCCCGAGGAGAACATACTTTCAAGTGTATAATTTTGTAAGTATTCAAATGTGTTGTAACTCATGGTATTTAATGGATATGTTCAACAAATATGGATGCAATAACAAGTGTGAAGACTTTACTAATTTCTTAATGTGTAAAATACTTGAATATTAAGTATTTCTACAATATAATTATGTTCAACATAGTAATTTTCAAGCTCTTATATCCACATTTCGTTTCTTTGATGTAGACACCACTGACTCAAAAATATCTGTATCCCCTGAGGAGAATTTGTTCAAGTGTATAACTTTGTAAGTACTTAAGTGTGTTGTAACTTATGATATTTAATGATACAGATGCTCTATGTGTATGCTACTCGAGTAAAACATTGATTTGTACATTAATTTCAGTCCACCAGAGGAAGGCCTGAGGTAGGCCGAAACCGGTCGTGGTCGGCTGATCCACAAGCTACTTAAAGAAGATACGACTGTACTAAAAATTTGCACCATATTGTTTGTTGTCGCTGTGAGGTTAACAGTGCAGCATGTTTATATACTGTTGTTGAATTATATCATTGTTTATGTTATACAAGTGGTATTTTTGTTGATGTATTTCATTCAGGAACCCATCTATATTATAGTATCTCAGTGGTATACCACTAGATGAAGACTGCAGGGCGGTGACCTGGGCAACTCCAATGACGTTTGCCGCCCATTACAAGTTGGACATCCTCTCCAAGCGGCATGACTCCTTTGGAAGAGCTGTCCTCAGTGGTGGCATGACGCCCGCCATCTAGCTTGTCAGTCTACCATATGTGCGATTTCACAGAGACCACGAGATAGAAAGATAGGTTGCTTACCTGTAACTATGTTTCTTCGAATGGTCATCTGTGAAATCGGCACATCCTCACCCTGCCTCCCCACTGAGTGTCATGCCCCAATTAATCTGCCGTTGCACGGCGGAAGAACTGGTGCTACAGCCCCACCTGTGTCCTATATGTACTATAGGACACAGGTCCTATAGTAGGCTATGGACCCACCCATCCACAGGAGAGGACGGGTGGGGCCATAGCCTTAAAGGTATAGAGAGCTTGTTATAGGGTCCGAGCTGCTGCGCATGCGCGAGAATTGCTACCATATGTCTGGATTTCACAGATGACCACTCGAAGAAACATGGTTACAGATAAGCAACTTATCTTTATGCCTGGTCAGTTTGTTCTTAACAAATCCAAAATCAAGTCTCAATTATCTTGCTCAAAATTAGAGATGATGACTTCTGGATCTATTAATCTATTAATCTATTAACAAGGAAGGTATCAGATTTGAATAATTTGCCACAGTAAGGTTAAAGCACTGAGCTGCTGAGCTTGTTGATCAAAAGGTCGCAGGTTCGATTCCGGGGAGCAGCGTGAGCTTCTGCTGTCAGCCCTAGCTTCTGCCAACCTAGCAGTTCGAAAACATGCAAATGCGAGTAGATCAATAGGTACCGCTCCGGCGGGAAGGTAACGGCGCTCCATGCAGTCATGCCGGCCACATGACCTTAGAGGTGTCTACAGACAACGCTGGTTCTTCAGCTTAGAAATGGAGATGAGCACCACACCCCAGAGTCAGACATGACTGGACTTAATGTCAGGGGACTACCTTTACCTTTAAGGGCAGCTTTTCTGGCACATAATCCTTGTACATGTAAGAATGTTTCATCTTAAAATTGTGCAATCACTAGAACACTCTAAATGAGTGAGGGACAGCCTATCACAAAATGATACTTTTGAAGGGTCAAGTTTTGGGTGATTAAACATAGTTTCAAACCTCTATTAATCAGAATTGTCAATGCAGAGCCATTCCTGGAGTAGCAAAAATGCCAAGTAAATTTAATCATTCTGTACCAGTTTGAACAAATCTGACTGCACTTCCAGGGCAAATAATAACAGCCCTAGGTTGTTTTTTTTACCATTGGACCATTGGGCTTAGTCAGTTTAACCTGGGCTGAATGTATGAATGTACTCTTGGGAGCCTGGTAAATACAGGTGTAACTTCTTTGTAAAAATCAGTACTTCTACATCTTCTTGGGGGAGACTTTAGCTTGCTTGTAATGCTGATATGGAAATCCTTAGGAACATTCACATATTTGTGAGATGATAATTAAATAATTTTTCAAATGCATCACAAATGCTTGATTTATTTCACAACATTGTTTTCCAATCTCTGTACTATTTCCAGTAGTACCACTATTGAAGTCAGCATACTTGCAGGTTGCAATGTTGTATTGTTATGTTCCTCAAATCTCAGGCTATACAATCACTCTTACTGTAGAATCTAAGGTTGGGATGGATTTTGTGTGCTTATGTAAATGCTCCCAATGTTATACATCTTACAGGAGGCTAAGAAGAAATGAACTGGATCCTTAAAAATGTGTTAATTTGGTGAGTAATTTCTTGATTTGTTTTTGAAAGTTGCTCTAAAAACCGAATATAATGCATTTAATAAAGATTCTCCGGCACAGTTTCCTCTAGACATCAAAGAACCATAAAACGGTTTTTTTCCATAATCCAGGGCAGAACTTTCTCAAACTGACAATTTCCATTATAAACTTTGTGCAGCATCTCTATATGAGCATCTGCCTAGTTTTTGTATCTCTCATAATGATATTATTCTAACATTAGGGCACTCCTTCAATTTTTTTCTGTTAGAGAGGCTGTTTCTTCATCTATGCTCCTCACACAAAGTCAATTGAAATCATATAGTAAATTATGTCAGCCAAATATATTTTGATTAAGCTGTTTTTGGAAGATCATTTTCATATAATTCTTACTTCCTTTTCTGGTTACTAGTTTGCTACAATAGAATATTACTATTTCATATTTTTGATGTCATGATGATCAAGGAGTTTGCAATAAATATACTGAGTGATCTGATGTTTTGCATGCAAGATTGGCCCAGATGTTTTTATAATTTTTAATGTTGTAAAGATATGTTAACATGATGGAAGATGGGAAAGACTTCAGGAGGGGGATACTTCTTGTTGTCACATGAACTTCTAACTTACACAAGGACAGTATTAACCAAGTCTGGATCACAGAAGATAAGTTAGCATGCAATGGCATTTATAAGACAAGCAAGTCTTAAGAGAGGATTTTTTTTGTGGCTGAGCTATTTACCTGTTCCTGTATTAATGCCTGCAATAAAATCTGAAAAATGAAGAATGACCCTATCATGTTTCATTTCCATATTAAGAACATCAGCAGTGTTTAGGACATTACCGTATGATGTCCCAAAACCATGTTCTGCGTTGTAAATCTGTCCTGACACCCCTAGATTGTTGTCACATGAACTTCTTCAAAAGCATTTCAAAAAGCTGGTCACACTTTCAGTTTAGCACAGCAGCTTGTAGAACACCCCCCCCCAACCCATACATTGCTCCTCATTGGCTATGTCCCCCACTTTAAACAAAAGGCTCACAAAAGTCCACCATTGCATAGCTTCATCACTGAGCAAGTCTGCAGTTGTGCAGTAAATCACTTCCAGATTTTCCAAGTACACAAGCACTGTAACTCCAAATAGATTAAATATATATATAATAATAATAAAGATGCATTTTGCAATCCCCAGCCTTTCCCCATTAGTGTTTTCTGCAAAGGAGAGATATACTTATCAATGCCAAACCTTGTTTTGCAGTTGGAGGTCTTCCCTGTCTGCTAACTGTCTGCTTCCCTGTCTGCTTAATTCCCATAGCTTGCATACAGGGAAGAGAAGCAGAGGAAAGTGACATTTTCTCCCAAACTCACTGTGGCAGCACTTCTGACTTATTATACTGCTGCCAACACTGGAAGAAAGTGTTTCCTGTAGGCTATTAACAGAAGCCCCATACATAGAGAAGGACATCCTTACTATCTCTTGAGAATTTATTTGAAGTGAGATTGAGACGACGTTGTGTGATCAAGATTGTTTCCAATTGTGGTTAGGGAACTGCTAACACATGCCTCAATGCTTATGCAATAATCTTCCTAATCATCTCAAAAAAAGAAGACTTACCACCTTAAAAAATAGCAACCTGTATAAGGAATAGATAGGCTGCAAACAAAACAGAGGTCTGTACAATTAATGAACAGAAATTCATTTTGAAGTAAGGATATTTTAGGTATTCTAAATACTGTAAGGGTACCAGATCCTGCCTGGTCTTGGAAGCTAAGCTATTTCAGTCCTGGTTATTATTTTTTATTTATGTATTCATTTGCGGCATTTCTACCCTGCCTTCCTCAACCCCAGAGGGGACTCAAGGTGGCTTAACAACACAGGCAACTATTCAATGTCATTAAAAACAATGTAAAGCTAAAATATTTATTTATTTATTTATTTATATACATTTAAAATAGGATAATAAGTACATTAAAACATTTTAAAACATTTAAACCAATATTATTAGTTGGATCAATGACTAGCAAAGGGTACCAGAATCTGTAGGCTGTATTTCAGAGGAAGGAACTAAGAAAACCACTTCTTTAACATTGGAATGTATTTAATTATGTTTAATATGTATTCATTTTAATCCAATTTATTTTTCAGTTTATACTGTATTGTAAGGCACTGTGTAAGCTGCCTTGAGTCCCTCTTGGGGTAGAGAAAGGCAGAATATAAATAAGGTAAATAAACGAGTATTCCTTCCCTAAGAAAACCCTATGACATTCACTGGGGCATCATAAGTTAACAGATGGACATCTTTTACTGGAAAAGACAATGGACTTCAATATGGACCCTGAAATGTAGGGGAGTGGAGCTTCTGCACTGATACCATAATCCATCTTGGAACCCATTCAGAAGGAACCAAGTTCTCTACAAGTTGAACAGATTGCCATATCTGGAAATGGTTGGAGGCCAGAAAGGTTAAAAAAGAACCACATCCCCACCTCCATTTTGGAAGAGATACGCATCAGTTAAGAGCAGAGGGGATTCATTATCCTGCCCAGGCTATCCATAAGCCCCTCTTGCCAAGAAATTCCCATGGAATGTTTTCTGACAGCCTCCTACTCTTCTCAGTTGGAATTTACTGCTTCAACGGGGCCTAGTGTCTACAGTAAGCTCCACATTTTTGGAGCCAATTTCACCAAGGATCTGGGGTATACAAGTATCAGTTGTAGTTAATGTTTTGGCTGCACTTGGACTTTCTAGTGATTTTTATTGAAGCGCTGGATCATCCTTAATGTGGACTGCAGTGGTCATTGACAGTGTGCATTTTGTGTTCACCATGGCCTCCAATCAGTTTTGAACTGCAGTATATAGTCAGTGTGCTGTACACAGGACATAAATTCTGTGTGCCCAACGGGATGCCGGGGCTGCCTCAGATTAAAGGCCTTTGGATTTCCTTAAAACAGAGTCTTTAGATTGCTTAAAGGTTCAAAAAGTTCTTTATTAATGAAAACAAACAGGTACTTTAAGGCTTTCTTAACAGTCTATTGGTTCTCTCTCAATCTTGTCCACAGGGAACAGGCACTATCTTCATAACCGTAACTAATGGGGAAATCCTTAACTTCTAATCTGGACAGTCTGTCTTTGCCTCTGTTGGCGTGGAGCCCCTGCACCCGGTACCAACTTCTTCTGGCTTCCGCGAGTGACCCTTACCAAGCAGAGCTTTGTAGACTTCCAGGGGGAAAAGAATTCAGGTTTCCGTGATGGCTGACTGAAGTCCTTCAGCAAAGGAGCTGTAGGGCTGTATAACCCCGGCCAAGTTGTGGGCTGTATATGGCCAAGCCAAGGAAGACGAAGCTTTCTACAGGAGCTCTTGGTATTATGTCCTGCATGAAAGGCTTCTCTGTGTGGACTGACCCAAAAAGGCTCCTATTCCCTCCAAAAACCCAAAAAGGGGGCGGGACCAGGGAACCTAACTATAATTGACAGGTGGCTTGCCCTATGATTGCAGCCAAAAGAAGCCACCTATCTGCAGAGTCCCTGAAACTTAGGACTACAACAAACATTCAATGCAAAGCAAACAAATTTGGAGCTCCGGGTACAGTTGTACCTGCACAGTCAGTGTAGAAACACCTTGAAGCTCTCCCACTATACTTCTATTGATGCAGCTTACAAGATGTTTAAAAATGATGGCCCCAATTTCAAAACAATATTTCACACTAGCAACATGTGACAATTACCAAAAAATGTTATAAATGGTTTAATAAAGCATTGGTTTATCACGTTTTACTAACCATTTTTGGCCAGAAATCTAAATCTAAAATAAAATAAATCTAAAAATAACTCAGCAAAAGAAAAAAAAACCCTCAATATTTTGCAAATGACTAAGGCAAGGGGTAAGAGTCATATTCATGGGTGGTGGTTTGTAGGTTCAGACATAAGTGATTTCAAATCAGGTCCATCTTTTTCAAACACCCTATAGAATCGTATTGACTTTTTAAGCTGCCCCATTATGCTGTTGACTTTGTTCAGCTTATGGTCTACTAAAACTATTAGATTCCTTCAATTTGTACAGTTTTCAAGCCAGATGTCACCATCCTATAGCAGAGCATTTAAAATTTATTGCCAAAGTATAGTACTATACATTTCTCTCTGATAAAATTCATTTTGGTTAGCTTTGGCACAGTTCTCTAAACCAGGGGTTCTCAAAGGCTCCGCAGCACCATGCTGCTTCCTGCCTCCTACTTTCCTCCTCCTCCTCCAGCAGGGAAATTAATGCTCAGATCTTTCCTCACCAAGCACCACACAAAGTCTATACTTTATTTTTATCTATCTATTTATTTTTATAATTATTAAACTCTATAAAATGAAGGCAAATGTATGTGAACCCATGAACTCCAGTAACCCCTTCTCTTGAGTCATTCCAGACACCATATCCACACCCTGGATGGAAGCCAGAGATGCGACCTAATCCATAAGACAAAGGATCTTCCTGGATCCCAGCATAAACCCATCCACATGCTGCCCAGCAGTTTTCCCAGCAATCATCTGCATGACAAAGGTCCGGACCAAAACTGTGATTTAAAATCAGCAAATATACATCTTTGGGATTCTTCCTTTGTCCTCTGGCACAAGGAAATGTCTGGGACAAACAATCCCATTGCATTCTTCGACAGGACCCCATGTCTGCCTAATCCTGTCAGATCGGCTTTTGGACATTTCCTTGTTTGCCACATTTCAGCACCACACACCCAAAGGGCATAGTCCCCAGAAATCACTCCCTCCCTCAGATCACCTCTGCCAGCTCATTGGAAGCCTTGAGGATCCTCAGGCAATCAGGGCATGCACATGCATGGATCTGCCTCCCAGCCAATCAGAGGTCAAGGAAGACACTGAGTGGCTTTGCTGGGCTAGCCAAAGAAGAGGGAGGGCATTTACAGTGAATGTCTGCTTGTCAATACATTTTTAGACTTGTACCCTTCAAGCATCTGTTCTGTACAAGTGTCCCTTTTGTGCAATTGGAATAAAGTATCTGTCGTTTGCCTACATCCTGATGAGATCTTCAGTTACTGATTTGCCATCCACAGTTAGCAAGCTTGCTAGGCATCCCTTGGGAATTAGAAAACTTTGGTATCACTTTTCCTGTATGGCAGAAGGGAGTTGGACTAGATGGCCCCTGGGGTTGCTCCTATTACTATTACTACAGAGACTGGATTGCCATCTGCTAGGGCACTTTGTACTTTTCTTGGATGACATATGGGGGTTGACTGGATTGCCCCAGGGATTACTCCTATTACCATTGTTTTTGTTTTTGTTATAAAGGCTGGATGGCCATCTGTTGAGGGTGTTTTGATTGTGCTTTGACTGCATGGCAGAAGAGGGTTGGACTGAATGGCCCCTTGGGTCTTCCACTGAAATACTGCTAAGTTTATGTTCGTTAAAATTTTTATTCATTTAAAATATTGTATTGTTCTTTTTCTTTTCTTTTGTGCTACAAATGAGATCTGCGCAGTGTGCATATGGATTTTTTTTTCCAGCTAGTTCACACAAACATGTTCCATCCATCTGCCACTGCCCTAGCCTATCTGTCAAATTTGAAAAACACAATGCGGCCTGTTCTACACGTTTGCCCATGCACACACACACATACACTTCTTGAGGCTCCAGAAGAAACTTTTGCTTCAAAAAGGGCTCTGCGTATGAAAAAGTTTGAGAACCCCTCCTCTAAACTATTAAGGTCAGTTTGGATTCTGATCCTGACCTCTGGGATATTAGCTATCACTCCCAATTTGGTGTCACCTGCAAATTTGATTTTCATGCTGCTATTCCATCATCCAAGTCATTGGTAAAGATGGGTCCAGGGCAGAATCCTGTAGTACCGCATTAGTCCCCTTTCTTAAGGATGAATAGCAGCCATTAGTAAGCATCCTTTGGGTTTGACCAGTTAACCAGTTCCCATAGCATTGTCTAGCCCACTATTTACTAGATTTTTTTTGGTGAAATTATCATGGGAGACCTTATCAAAGGCCTTACTAAAATTGATATAGGCTACATCCCTTCACTTATCATTTGTAACTATATCCAAAACAAACAAGTAAACAAAAAAGCTAAATTTCATCTGGCTTGACTTGATTTTGAAAAAATGATGTTGACTTTTGGTGGATATGGCATTGTTTTCTAAGTGCTTACAGATTGTCTGTTGAATGGTCTATTACAGAATCTTTCCTGGTGTTGATGTCAGGCCTCCTGGACGGTGATTATTTGGGTCCTCCCCTGCTGCTCCTTCTGGAGATGAGGACAACATTTGCTTTCTTCCAGTTACATGAAGCTTCTCCTGTTATCCAATAATTCTTAACAATGATTGTCAATAGTTCTGAAATTACGTTTTAATGCCTTTGGATGCATTTCATCTGGTTTTGTACTCAAGCATTCAAGAAAGGACATTGGTTATTAAACTAGTTGTAGCTGACTCTGATTTTAGTAATTTTTAGTTTAATTCCCCATTCCACTAGTCCCAGGGGTCATCAACCAGCATTATTCTGCTCTAAACTAATATTTTCTTGTCACTGACCTATCTTTTTTACTTTGCAGACTCTTTCCTTGTTTCTATTTCTGGTTTTTTTTCTCTCTCTCCCAGATTGGGCTCATTAGATTGGGCTGGTCAGAAGTTTTTCTTCATATTTTTTTTCAAATGATGTCTGTCAGCTATTTTTCTAATCAACTGCCTTTAGGATTGTGGTGCACAATCTGTAAAATATTTCTGGACTTCTAAGTGAACTCCTTTAGTCTGTTACTACTTCAGGTACTAAACTGTGCGGTTTTTGTTTTGTTTTTGTTTTAGCTAGACCTTAACAATGAACTGAATGAGTTAATCACAAACAACAATGCTTCAAAAATGTTTCAATTTTTTGTCATTTGAGGAAATAATGGATCAATGATCATTATTTTGAGATTTAGCATATTTTATTATTTCTTTATCAAGAGACAGCTAAAAATTATCTGGAAATAAGAAAATTTAATCTGTATACTCTATAGTGACATGCAATAGCCTTTCCTTCTCCTCTTCCTCAAAGGAAGAGGTGGAGGAGGAGGGAATTGTTGCTGCTGCGCTATCACTGCCTGCTGCAAGTGATCGGGGGCACTTGTCTTCTCCTTCTCCTTCACTCTTCTCATCCGGACTGGGCATCCAGCCTGGCCAGCCTCTGCCTCTTCCTTCTCTTCTTTCTCAGAGGCCCCTTGGGAAGCCCAAGCCAGAGAAGAAGAGCGAAGGAGAAGACAAGTACCCCTGAGCACTTGCAACAGTGCCGCAGCAGCAACTCCCTCCTCCTCCGCCTCTTCCTTCGAGGAGGGCGGCAAGTACTCAGGGGTATTCTTATTCTCCTTCTCCTTCCGGCCTGGGCTTCCCAATGGGCCTCCAAGGAAGAGGAGGAAGAAGAGGCAGAGGAAGAGGGAGTTGCTACCCAGGCCGGATGCCCAGGCCAGATGAGAAGAGCAAAGGAGGAGAAGAAGAGTGCCCTCGAGCACTTTCAGCAGGTGGCGACAGCACAGCAGTAGCAACTCCCTCCTCCTCCGCCTCTTCCTTTGAGGAAGAGGAGGAGAAAGAGGGCGGCCTCTTCCTCCTCTTCCTCAGAGGAAGAGGTGGAGAAGGAGGGAATTGCTGCTGCTGCATTGTCGCTGACTGCTGCAAGTGATCGGGAGCGCTCTTCTTCTCACCCAGCCTGGGCCACAGGCCTCCCCGTTGGACAAGTTCTTCCCGGCCTAGTAGCGGCTCCATTTACTCCCAGGGCTCCAGCATCATCCGCCCCCACCATTTGCCAGTCCCGGCTCCCCCTCCCCCCTGTTCTCTTCCTCCCCCCCCCACCCCAGTTCTCGGGGGGAGAGGAAAAACCCTCAAAACAGTACTTCGTGGTTCGCAATAAGCGAACCACGAAGTAGCAGGGGAACACTGTATACATGCTATGATTCGGCTTCTGCTCCTGGATAATTGTAATGAAAAGCTCTCTAATTCTATTTATCACCAAATGAAACAACTGAACAATATATTTATTTATTTACCATATTTATATACTGCCATTCTCAGTTCGAGGGTGACTCAGGGCGGTTTACAAACGGCACAATTCGATGCCTGCAATAACATAAAAACAATTAAAATATTTAGCATAAATAACATTAAATAAAATAATAAAACTGATAAAAGTATAAATCCTCAGTGTCTCGTTACTAAAATCATTATCCAAACACATTGCCCAGTTATTCCAAAGATCAGAGTTTGTCTGCTACACTACATTTGGGAAAGCTTGCTTTAAAAGCTAGATTTTAACTTTTTGCAAAATTTTAGGAGGGTGGGGGCCGATCTGATATCCCTAGAGAGGGCGTTCCATAGCCGAGGGGCTATTCAACTGAATCTGTGAAGAAGATGAGACCGAGAACAGGACTTCCCCAGAAGATCTTAGGGCCCTAGATGGTTCATAAAGAGAGATACGGGAGGCCCTGCTCTCACTCCCACCAACATCACAAATGCAGCTGGTGGGGACGAGAGACAGGGCCTTCTTGGTGGTGGTCC